ATGAGACAGTGACTCATATTAAACGTTTCTCATTTTACAATAGATAAACATACTAGTTTTATCAACGTCTCAACAGATAAGCATACAAGTTGTATCCACATTTCAACAGATATGCATATTAGCTATATCAACACTTCCAAAGATAAACATATGACCTGTATCAACACTTCCATAGATAAGCGTACAAGCTGTATCAACACGTTAACTGACAAGAATATGAGCTGTAACAGTGGAGTCCATCCCCTATCTCCTCTCAAACAACATCTGGTTTAGAGGTCCATCTCCTATCTTCCCCTAAACCGTGGAGTACATTCCCTATCTCCTCCCACACACACAACGTATATACACATAGGTCATATACACAATCAATCAATACATAACGTTAATGTATTCTATCAACCGTCATACTCTATGACATATCCAATTGATTAGTTTTAATTTGCCTAATCATCATGCATTGTCTACAACAATCAAAACTACCCTCCACCGGTAGCCCAAGCAATTATTTCTAAACAGATAATAAAAGGTCCAATAGATAAAACATTAATGTTTTTAAAAGTGAGCGATTAATAAATCCAACTCCACTATTCTACTATATAATGAGTCAATTTCATTATTTCCAACTCAATTCCATATAACCACAATTTTCCCAAATTAATCATACCAATTAATTTATACAACCAATTAGGGTTTTCTACCCCATTTCTCAATATTGACCCAAAGGTCTATATATCAACAACCAACAACAATATCATTATTTTGAAACCCACAATACACATTTTAGAATCAAAATCACAAAACCCTCTTTTAACATTTTGAAACCCTAAGTCCCAAAATTACCCAACTTCAACACTTTATCAAAGCCACCAAAAATCTATGTCAAAGACCATAAGACTAAGTAGGAATCCCTACCTCAAACGATGACACCCAAAGAAGAAGATGACGAAAACGAAGTTGCTCCAAATCACAAGTTTCTCGGATCAAAATGTAGCCCTCGACGATCAACACAACTTTTACAAAGGCCAAAGGGGAGGGAAGCACTCTAACTAAATCAAACTCTAGAGAGAAGGGAGTTTTTAAAGAGAAAGGCTCTCAAAAAATGTTTTTGGGAAAGTAAGAGAAAGAGTGAAAGTGTAGAAAATGATTCAAAAATGCCCAGCTGCCCTCTGTTATACGACATTCCCGCTCGAGCGGAAAACACAAAACTCGAGCGTCAAGAACAAAAAACTAAGTCCGCTCGAGCGTAAGAAGGCCCGTTCGAGCGCCAAGACACAAGGATAAAGTATATCTGCTCGAGCGCGAAAACCAGTCCGCTCGAGTGTAGATTTTCATCTCCCAAAACTTTCACCAACGAGGTACTACCCGCTCGAGCGCCAATAATCCCGCTCGAGCGCAACCCGCTCGAGCGCAAGAAACCCGCTCGAGCATAGAAAACACACCTGCAGAAGTTTTGCAGGGACTCGAAATGCTGGAAGGGTGTAAACCCTGCTCGAGCGGACCACTCAAAAACTGGGCAACAGCAATGGGAGCCAAAGCTCTACCAACCTGTAACAACCAAGCCCAACACATCCTAAAACTCAAACAAATGGAATTAAAGGACGACAACAAGATAGACACAACTACCAACTCCACGAAACCGAGTCCGGGATGCAACAGAACAGTAAAGGGAATACCGGAATCGCTATAACATCTAGCACACTCAGCTTGGATGATGATGAGAGTTGAAGACTCTTTTTGTTTATTTTGTTTGTATTACATGTATATCAAGCCAAGGGCTTATTTTGTATAGAGTTAGTACTCTTCTTTTGTGTAACCAGGTGTTGACTTGGAAAGTTGTAAGCCCATAGGGCATTTACTTTTGTTGTTAACATGTAATACAGTTGTAAGAATTACTCTGATGAATAGAAATGGTTAGTTTATTTTATATCAATGCATGTTTAAAGTGATGGGTTTTATGTATTATTTTGAGGGCGTTACAAAAACACACCTGTAGAAGTTTTGTAGGGACTCGAAATGCTGGAAGGGTGTAAACCTCGCTCGAGTGCAAAATGACCCGCTTGAGCGGACCATTCAAAAACTGGGCAACAGCAATGGGAGCCAAAGCTCTACCAACCTGTAACAACCAAGCCCAACACATCCTAAAACTCAAACAAATGGAATTGAAGGACGACAACAAGATAGACACTACTACCAACTCCACGGAACCGAGTCCGGGATGCAACAGAACAGTAAAGGGAATACCGGAATCGCTATAACATCTAGCACACTCGATGAAACAGCAATTTTGCAGTGTATACATCATCAAAGTTTTTATTTTATTCTTCAACTATAATAATTAGTCTTTCTCATTATGATTTCATGCATTTATCTTATATAGGTATTAATGATTTCCAGAATAACACAACGACTAACACTGAAGATGGTACTTAAACAACTTCTCTTATTGTTTTTTTTATGATACACCCAGCTAAATAGAAAATAATTCTTAAATTCTATTTATACTCTCCATAGGCTTTGTTCTACGTTGTAGAAAGAAGAAAAGAATCACAAAAAGAGATATACCAGTTGAAGCCTTTGTTTTACCAAATAGATCATGTTGTTCTTTCTGTAATGCAAAAAGAAAAAAAAAAAAAAAAAAAAAAAAAAAAGAAAGATCTCCAGCTAGATGGTTTTTGTTGTTCTGCTAGGGAAATTGCACTATGTCCCAATGTTGTTCCATCTCAATTATATGAGTTGTTCACAGGTCATTCCAAAAATTCTCTTCATTTCTTGAAGTACATTCATGCCTATAACAATTATTTGCTTTCACTTCTTCGGGTTACCACTGACAAACAATTAGAGCGTAGAAATAAAGGAATCTATACCTTTCATGTGCAAGGACAGGTTTATCTTTATATCAATCAGCTTTATACTTCAGATCATAAACCTTCTTACTTACAACTTAATTTCTTTGACACTGAACATGAAGTTTAGAATAGGATGAGGATTGCAAACAATCTAGATCCGAACATCATTGCTCTTCTAATTGATATTGTCTTTTCAAATCCATATTCTATATTCTTTAGAAGTTTAAGAGATGTTTCTTACTTAGACACTCATCATATACTTATTTGCGCTAATCCATCTTTAGATCCCCAAACTTTTAATCCTCCTACTGCATCCCAAGTTGCTGCAATATGGCATGAGAATGATAAAGCTGTTAAGTAGAAAGAGCGCGATATTATTGCCCAAAAAAATCAAGGTCATTCTGAAAGAATTCGGTATTATTATGGATGCTATGACCCACTACAATATCCATTTCTATTTCCTCTTGGTGAACCTGGATAGCACCAAGGAATAAAGAAAAAACAAAAAAAGACAAAAACAAATGTTCAGATGGTTAATTTTCTGTGTTGGCAACAGAAGTGTAACAACCCTGATCCGCAATTAACTACTAATCCGTAATTAAGGATATTAATTAAGTGGATAAAATAAATTATTTATTTTGCATGATCTTTGGCTTTCTATCTGTTACTTGTAGAAAGATCTGCCTGAAATTTCGCTTTAATATGAAAATTAAAAGCGTTATCAGCATCCGAAATCAAAATTAGTTACATTAATATGTTGTTTGAAATTTTTAGAACACTATAGCAATTTTTATTAAAAATTGATTCAGTCTGATTCATTAAGTTGCCTTTGGTAAGCCTTATATTCTAATTATTGTATTATATTATCATAACTATATATATGAGCCCTTAAGTTCATTTGAGCTCGTCTTTGCCCTTTATTGAGTGCAAAATTCTGAGATCACACTGCAGAGAGAGAGAGAGAGGGAGACTCCATTTTAGAAAGAGAAAGTGTAGAAATTGAAGAGAATTGAAGATCTTGGCTAGAATCCATCAAAATTGAGCTAGAACAAGAGTGATTCAAGACTCTAGGTAAGCCTTTGACTATTAATTCATGAAGATTATGTATTGTAGAGATGAATTCATGGAGTTATTATGATCAATTGCATGAAGATGGAGAATTGGGTTACAATTCATACATGCATGCTCATGTAGGTGTTAAATCATCATGTTAGCTATGAGCTTCATCATTTGTGTTGAATTTGGAGGATGAAACGTACATACATGCATATTTCATCAAGTTTTGTAAGTCAATTCCATGTTTTTGAAGTCTTGAAAGAGAATTTGGAAGAGAAGTCCACATGCATGCATGAATATATGGAGTTTTACCATGTTAAGTTAATCTTGAGCATCTAAGTTGTTATCATAAATTATTTGGCACATCCATGCATAATTTATCATGTTTTAAAGTTTGAATTCATATGTTGAAAAGGATTCCTTACATGCATGGAGTTTATGAGCTCAAGCTTGTTAAATTCATAAGTTTTGGAGAAAAGAGTGGTATGTTTTACATGCATGAAAGTTTTGGGTCTAATTTTGGTAAATTCATGAGTTTTGAGTAAAAAGAGTTTGTGAAAATAATATATTCATGTTTATGAATAAGTTTTCCAAGTTTATGAACAAGCCATGCTTGAATTTGCCATTGAAATTACATTTGGAAGCTCAAAACTCTGTTTTGGAAACCTAGAATTTTTGAAGGTCGCTCGAGCGGGGGATTTGCCACTCGAGCATACATTTCGTGCATCCAGTAGTTTTGCAGGCTATTACAGCCCGCTCGAGCGACCACTTGGACTATAGCGACCCCGGTCTTTTCTCTTTAAATTATTGTATCCGGACTTAGGTTCCGTGGATCCTGACATTACTTATTGGTTGCTGTTGTCCTTTAATCTCTTTGTATTTGAAGTATAGGTTGTGTTGGTCGGGTCTGATACAGGTTGGTTGATTTTAGATGCCAATAGGTGATGCCCAGATTTTGGCCTTCACGCTCGAGCGGAAGTTTTAACGCTCGAGCGGTCCCTTGAGCTCAATGGATGCCACAACGTAACTGAAGTTGTAGCTGATCATGTGACCTGCAGCGAAAAGAACTGTGAGAGCCTAAACCCCGAAGATGATGAGGAGAATGATGAATTGCTAGGTGGGATGTTTTCTTTCTCCGAGGAAGGTAAGATTGTGAAAAACAGCTGCTAACCATATTGTTGCATAAACTTCTATTTTCTTGTTAAATTATGTAGTTGAACCCGGCACGTGCCCATTCTTTTGATGCAGGTTGATTCATAGCCTCCCGGAGGAGAACTGCCGAATGCATGTTATTTACAGAATCATTGCTTTCCAAATATTGTGAAAATGGTTTTCGATTAATTACTGAAGGTAATAGTGATTGCATCCGTCAAGAATCACAGTGCAAGTGTTTGCAATACTGTGCATATGAGCGGGGTGCATGTTTATGTCATAACAAGCCAGTGTATGTGATCGATCTCTCTCATGTACATTTTGTAGATGAAAGTTTATAATTCACGGAGGGTCTAGCATGGGTCCGGAGGATTAAGTTTCCGACTCTTGGAAGAAGTAGGTTTGGGGTTTTCACTGCCTAGTCTTTTCTTTCAAGCTGCCTGTAGAGCCATATTTCAATTTCGGTATTGATTAAGTTCTCTCCAAATTGTATAAATATTTTATCTTCAAAAATAGAAAAAAAAAATGTGGAAATGGAAAGGGATGAAAGTACGTTTCGATCGCAATTTTTTTTATTATTTATATTTATTCTTCACATTTGCTGCTGCTTGAATGCTGATTGCTCTACATAGTAATTAGTGATATGCATGAATGGCTTGATTTATTTTTTGAATAATACTATATGTATTAGTTAATGTACTAACTAATATACTAATAGATGATGTGGTATAATTTTAGAGGTTTTAGGTATTTATAATTTGTATAATAGGTAAGAGCAATAATAATGGTATAGCACTAGTTGGTATACTAGTGTATACATTAATTGGTGCATGTAGTATTACCAACAGAAAGTGTTGAGACTCCATCTATGCGAAAGTACAATTCTCTCTCTGGTTTGGTTTAGCACTAAAATGTGTATCAAATGGGAAGTATGAAGTGTTTTGATATGAGCATGAGTCTCATTTGTTTTGTTGATATTGGAAGTAATGTGAATATGATATATAATTCACTGTTGTAAGTTTGGCCAGGTTCTGAGCCATGTTGATAATAATGGAAAGTGAAATGTATAGTGTCATGAGACTGTTTAATGATAAAATTGATTATCTTGGTTACCCATCTATTGAATGCTATAGCTTTATTCAATGCTTATATTTGGTTTAGTATTTTTCTACTGGGCTGTGGCTCACCCTTTATGGGAACATCATTTTCAGGTTCAGGTGATAAGCTACCTCCACGGACTTAGCCTGGAAGGATTTGATGTTTGGGATTTTGAAGACTTGTCTTTAGTTACATGTTTTATTTTGTTAATTTTGAGATTTCATGTAAACATTCAAGCCTAGGGCTTAACTTGTAAATGAGTTAGTACTCATCCTTTTTGTGTCCAAGTGTTAGCTTGGAAAGATGTAAGCCCTTAGGGCATTTATTTTGATGTTGCAGGATGTTACATGTGATGTCTTTCAATAAGAATACTCTGATGAATAACTCAAATGATTCGTTTTCTTTTATAAATGCATGTTAATGTTATGGTTATTATGGGTTTATTTTGAGGGCGTGACATGGACGCTCGAGCGAACCCTTTGTGTATTGTTGATCTGCTCGAGCGCATGAGTTGTGGCTCGAGCGTAGATTGAGACCAACCAGTACTTTTTCCAAGTTTGCATGTCCGCTTGAGCGAAGAAAGCTACGCTCGAGCGGGGACCTTGTTTTTAGAAATTTGACTAAGTGTTTTCCCAATGTATTTTGGCATCCGCATTACATCTTAGGCATTTCTAAGCCTTAATTTAGCCATTGTAATGAGGATCGACCACTTGGACGCTCGAGCGAACCCTTTGTGTATTGTTGATCTGCTCGAGCGCATGAGTTGTGGCTCGAGCGTAGATTGAGATCAACCAGTACTTTTTCCAAGTTTGCATGTCCGCTTGAGCGAAGAAAGCTACGCTCGAGCGGGGACCTTGTTTTTAGAAATTTGACTAAGTGTTTTCCCAATGTATTTTGGCATCCGCATTACATCTTAGGCATTTCTAAGCCTTAATTTAGCCATTGTAATGAGGATATGATGTAGAAACACACTAAGAAAGGAATGTACTAAGTTAAGAGATTGCAAGTGTGTGTTTTGTGCAATGTGATAGGAAAGAACAAGAATCATGTAAATTAAGCTAAGCCGTGATGGCCATATGAATATGTAATGATAAGATATGTTTGTGTTATGTACTTTGTGGTTGTAAGTCAAGACTCGATGATTGATTGACTGTTTACGAGAACCACTGTGAGTAACGTTATTGTAAAGATATGTTCATATGAATTATGTTCCAAACGAGATATGATAAGTTATGATTTCTGAAATGATATTGTTTACATAAATGAATGTCCTATGTTTGAAATCTATTATGGCATCCATAGATAGTCCCAAGTCATGGGGGACGACATGTAAATACGGGTCCATGACATATATGTGATCACGAGATCTCGTTAGCCACTTCATTGTGGTGATATGTGTTTAATCGGTATTCGGAACCGATTACTCTAGTCGGAAGACAATATGTGATGTGCTCTATGGGATGACTGTTATTATGTTCAGATACGAGAATGTTTATGCTATGATCTGTTTTATGCTTATAATATATTCAGAATTCGCTCACTAACCTGTTTACCTTAATATTATTCACTGGGCTTTAGCTCACTGTGTGTATATATATGTATAGGTGGGCATACTGGAGATCGAGCCTAAAGGCTTTTGTTTGGATCTGTGTTCTGTTGTCAGCCAACCACTGTGCCTCACGTAGAGGTTCCTGAAGTGTCACGTGTTTTGAGTTTATGTATATGAGACTTGTATGTTTTTGTTGGCTATACTCAAGATGTTATAGCTAAGTGTGTGGGTATAACGTGAAAATGATTTTTGGTTATGAATATAAAGTTTAAATATTCTGTTTCATGTAAGTCTACATAGCTCATTTGACAACTTTATTTATGTATTTGCTTCCGCGAGCCCCTTAATTTTGTTAATCAGTTCAGAAGCCTTCGGTAATCCAAGGATTACTGGCTGGTTACGATGCTAAACTTATAGGGGCGGGTTTGGGTCATGACAAGAAGCTTCCAATATTGATGATTTATTATCAACAGAAGCTCAATGTAAAAATAATAAAGAAAAAAGATTACCCTACTCACAACCTATAATATAACAAGAACCCTAAAGTACTTATTTATTTTTTTTATTTCAGTTTTTGAAGAGAATTTAAAGAAGAGAAACATGGTTTCAACTCGTGAGTTTTATTATTTCAAGTTTCAAATTAGGGAGAGCGATAATTCGATTTTACTTCGAGCAGGTCGACTTCTACAATAATTTGTTGTTGACATGTACGTTAAGGTAGAAACTTCAAGGTTGGATTACTTTAGAGTAAATCAAAAAGAAACAAGAACATATTTGTATCAAGGAATTGTTGATAGTATCACAACAGGAGAATCTAAAGCTTCTAATATTGGTCGAAGAATTGTTTTACTAGGCTCATTTATAGGTAGTCCAAGAGACCTTCAGAAGCACTATATTGATGCCATGACTTTAATGCAACGATTTGGAAAGCCTGATATCTTTTTAACCATGACTTGTAATCCAAGTTGGAGTCAAATCAAAGCAAAATTGTTACCAAATGAAGAGCCACAAAATAGACCTGATCTTCTTGTCCGAGTATTTAGAAGCAAATTTGAGCACTTGAAAAATGAAGTTATAAGAAAAAAAAAACTATTTGGTCCAGTTGCAGCTTTCACATATGTAATCGAATTTCAGAAACAAGGCCTTCTTCATGTTTATTTATTTCTTATTCTTTAACAAGGTCATAAACTAGATTCTCTAGAAAAATTTGATGATTTCATATCTACCGAGTTTCCTGACAAAGAAAAGTTTCCACACTTGTACTTAATGGTTGTCAAACACATAATGCATGATCCTTGTGGTTCTTTGAATTCTAATAATGTTTGTATAAAAAATGGCCTATGTAAGAACCATTATCCCAGAGATTTTGTTTCAATGACAACCATGAAAGCTGATGGATACCCTAACTATAGGCAGCGCAACAATAATGAAACAGTTAAAGTTCGAGTGCACATGTTGGACAATAGATGGGTTGTTCCCTATAACCCATATCTTCTTGCAAAGTTTGATCGTTACATTAATGTGGAAATTTGCTCTACTATTAAGGTTGTCAAGTACTTGTATAAATACATATACAAGGGTCATGACAAAATATCATTCCATATAGTAGGCCAATACAGTAATGAAGATATTGATGAGATCACAATGTTTCAATCTGCAAAATGGATATCTCCTTCAAAAGCAATGTGGAGAATATACAAATTCCCTTTGAATCAAATTAATCCTACTGTGATAAGATTGCAACTACACCTTGAAGATTGCCAAATTGTTGACTTTCGAAAGACAAATAACTTGCACTCTTTAGCTAACAATGAATTTCTTTCAAGAGCAATGTTAACAGAATTTTTTGTGATTAACAAAACAAACAAAAAAGCTCAAGAAGGAAAATATTTATACAAGGAATTTCCTGAATTCTTTATTTGGGATGGCCAACATAGAATGTGGAATGAAAGAAAGTAAAGGGAGGTGATTGGAAGAATAATCACTGCAAATCCAAGAGAAGGCGAGTGATATTATTTGTGATTATTGTTGAATCATATACGGTGCCCAACTTCATTCCGCCAATTGAGAACTATTAAAAAAGTGACATACAACTCTTTCAGAGAAGCTGCTCTTCAATATGGTCTATTAGAGGATGATGAAAGTCATGAAAAGTGCTTAGAAGAAGCAAGTACTTTTCAAATGCCTTCATCATTACAACAATACTTGTGTATTGTAGTCCACATGATCCAAAAGCTTTATTCTTACAATTTGAAATAACAATGTCGGAGGATCTTTGTAGAGAAGGACAATTATCTAGAGAACAAATTCGTTCTAGAGTTTTGCAGAATATAAATTATGCTTTTGAATCCATGGGCAAGAACATTGAATAATTTTATCTTTCAGATCTATTGGTCCCTTCTGATGAAACTGATGATTGTTGCAAAGATATAGAAGATGAGCACAATTTATTAGTGTTTGAGATTGATTTGATGTCTGTGTCATTGTTAATCTCAAATCAACAACTTGCATATTCTAAAATTGTTGATGCAGCACTTTCTAGAAATCCAAGATATTTGTTTATTGATGGACCTGGTGGAACTGGGAAAACCTTTCTATATCAAACAATCTTGGTTGTAATAAGAACGCACAAATTGATCGCTCTCGCAACTGCAACTTCAAGAGTTGCTGCATCCCTTTTGCCTAATGGGCGCACTGTGCACTCACTGTTCAAAATTCCTACAGATGTTGAAAGCAAAATTTGTTGTAATGTCAGCAAACAAAGTGGCCTGGCAAAACTTTTGAAACTTACTGCACTTATAATATGGGATGAAGCATCAATGGCAAGATGGCAAAGTATTGAAGCACTTGATGAATTGTTAAAAGATGTCATGGATAGCAATCTTCTAATTGGAGGAAAGGTTGTAGTAGTCGGTGGTGACTTTCGTCAAGTGCTACTTGTTGTGCCA